GTAATATGCTGCTTTTCCCCCCGCAGGCCGTGTCTCTCTCACAGCACGTGGCAATTCTTACGAGATGCATTCGCTTTAAATTCACTTATTTGCCTCTCTTCTCTTCTAGGTAGCTATAGATTCCACTGGCTCCAACAGGGACCCCAGTAACAGCTGTTCCCTGCGCTATACCCACCCCTGCCAGCCAGCGAGTACCTGAAGGCCTTGGTGGCCATGGGGCAGATTTGCCAGGACTATGACAGGTATGAGACTCCCCATCTCTGTGTGTTCCCGTGGCCCCTGGCTGGCTCTGGGCAGAAGAATGGAAATTAAGTCATGCTGAGGCTCATGAGGGGACAGAATAAAGCCTGGCCCCAAATGTGTTATTTTCTCCGTACCTAGAGAAACTGAGTTCATGCCAAGCTCACACTGGGCACCAAAAAATCCTTTCTCAGCTTTCTTCTCTTACTTGGCTGGCAGGACCACAGGATAGCGATTTTGCTTTCAGTATGTACCTTGCTACGCAAAGTTTGGTCCGTGGACTGGCAACATAACATCACCTAGGAACTTAGAACATCCAGCCCCACTTGAGAACCTGAATCAGCATCTGCATTGTAACAAGATTCCCAGATGATTTGTGTGAACTTTGGAGTTTGAGAAGCACCAGTTTATTAGGTACCTTCCACCTGATCCTCACACTAACCCTTCTGTAGTGGGTGTTGTTTAAGAGAAGAGAAAAACTGTGCAGGGAGCTGAAGTGGTCTGTGCCCTATCCCACAGCCAGGGGCAGGATTTAAACCCAGAGCCAGCTCACTGCACAGCGTAAGCTCGTAATCATGGGGTTTCACTGACCTCACAAGCTACTGGTAACTTCCGCAGAGGGTCTGTATCTGCCCATGTGCACGTGAGTGTGTGCCCACGCCAGTGTGTGTGTGTGTGTGTGTGTGTGTGTGTGTAGAAGACACGATTTTGAGATCAGATCAGTATTTATTTTTACTGGGTGGTAAATATTGGCCTTTCCCACCACGAAAATTTCCTGTAATAAATGATTTACATAAATCACCTTAAACTGAATTTATTCTGCCTTTCCAGTATTTCCAGGTTGAGGTGAAGTTGTTGACATGTTTGATCAAGAAGGCTCTTTGAGGTAGAACTAGTGTAAGTATATATATGGGTAAATCTCAGTCGACTGCCCAGTGTGATAGTAAAACAGGGCTAGTTAGTCATGAGCAGCAACTAACTGGCCTGTTAAACCAGGAAAATAAGAAAGTGACCCTGTCCTCCAGTTTCAGATTTCGTGGAATGGCCTGATTTCTGTTCTTCCTAGTCTCACAACTGGTAATAACTGTATTAAAAACCTGATGCCCAGGCACCATAGCAAGTGACACAACCTAGTGAGCAGAAGGTACAGAGAAACCAACAGGACAGGTAACAGAGTTTCTGTCAGTGTCCTTCCCGCTGACGAGTCTCTGAATTCAGCTTGGTCATCGCTAGTAACTCAAATGCGTGTGAGGCCAGCTGGGGATGAATGAGCATGTCCAGTCAAACCAGACAGCTTTAAACACTAGGCCTCTGCCAACACTTCCCCTCTTACACATCTGGAATGGAGGGCAATAATGGCACTTTAAATTACCTTGTTGAAGTCATACTTATACTTAACCTTGAGATATTGTCTGTGAAGACAACTTGAATCTCAGCTCTGATTTCTTCAGGCCTCGATTCAGGGAGGATTCTTAGAGAGGCTCATGTCATACGGAGATTTCTTACCAAGGAGGGAAAAGACAAACGGATTGCATCCCCACTGTCAGAAAGTCCTCCAAGTGTCCCCAAGAAGCCAACACAGTAATTCTCTCCCTTCTCTCTATCACGCACAATTTATTGAGGGGACTCTCCTTTTCCTGGTGTATGTCCTTGGCGGCTTTGTCATAAACTGACCACATATATGTGGATTTCTTTCCCAGACTCTATTCTATTCCTGTGGCCCATGCCTCTTTTTGTGCTATTTCTACACTGTTTGGTTACTGTAGCTTTGTGATATGGTTTCAAGTTAGTGAGTGAGTTTCCTCCAGCTGCTGTTCTCCTTTCTCAGGGTCCCCTTGGCTGTTCAGGGTCCTTTGTAGTTCCATACAAATGTCAGGATTGTTTGTTCAGCTCCTGTGAAAAATTCCGTTGGAAATTTGGTAGGATGTGCATTAAATGTGTATGCTGTTTTGGGCAGAATGAACATTTTAGCACTACTAAGTCTTTCCATCCATAAGCACAGGATATCTTTCCATTTCTTTGCATCTTCAGTTTCTTCATTGATGTCGTAAGGTTTTCAGTGTGCAGCTGTTTCACATCTTGGGTTAAATTCATTCCTGGGTATTTGTTTCTTTTGATGTTATTGGAAATGGGATTGTTTTCTTAATTTCTGTTTCTGATGGTTCATTATTACTGTATAGAAACAAGTGTTTTTAGTGTATTGATTTTGTATCCTGCAGCTTTACTGAATTCATTTATTGGTTCTGACAGTGTTTTGGTGATTTAATATGGGAAACTGGAATTAGAAATCCCACTGTTTCTACCACATCCAGCTCATCCACAACACCCAAGATAGGGTGGCTACTATTATAATCTTCCCACACTGCCCCTTGAAAACACGTGAAATTTTACAATGGCAAATTACATCATCACTTTGGGTGAGCAGGATCTGGGTAGGGTTGGCCTCTATACAAAGATCGTTGTCTTCTCTACATTTCTGTCCTTTTATTGACACAGTTGCTTTGAAAAGTAATTTATTTTACAGTAATTTAAAATGTATAGAAAATTTTCCATAGCAGTACAAAGTACTCACATTTGCCACTTCACACAAAACACTTCAGTGTGTTTTACCCAAAACATGGATACACTCCCAGGGAACAAGCACTTTTAACCACCAAATGAGGAGGATTATAATTTCTTATAATAATCTGGTCCATAGGTCCACTTCCCCTTTCACCACCTGCCCCAACTCTATGGCAATATCTTTTTTCATTGTGACCCAGTTTTCTTTTTTTTCTGAAACCTTGACTACGACTTTCCCTTATGTTCAAAACCTTGATGGATTTAAAGCACAGAATGAGTATGTTATCTGTGTGGCCTTTTCTGTATGGCTTCTTTCACTTAGGGTGTTGTCAGCGTTCCTCCATATGGTAGCATGTATCAGTACTTCATTTTTCCCACTGCGAATAAAAACACATAACATTTACCGTTTAAGCCATTTGGTGTGTACAGTTCTGTGGCACTCACTACATCTACATCGTTATAAAAATATCCTCACCACTCATCTCCTGAACTTTTTCATTTTCCCCAAGTGAAACTGTATCCATTGAACACTGACTCCTCTCAGCTCCTGCAACCACATTCCTTCTGTCTTTGAATTTGACTCCCCCAGATACCGTATGTAAGTGGAACCATAGAATTTGTTCTTCCGTGACTGACTTATCTCATTCAGTATAGTAAGTTCAAGGTTCATCCACATTGTAGCATGTGTCAGAATTTCCTTAGTTTTCAAGGCTAAATAATATTCCTTTGTGTATATACCACATTCTGTTTATCCATTTATCCATCAATGGGCACCTGGGTTGCTTCCACCTTTTCTTATTGTGAACGATGCTGCTATGAATATGAGTGTACAAATACCTGTTCCAGTCCCTGCTTTTAAATATTTTGAGTAAATGCCCCAAAGTGAAATTTATGGATCATATGTTAACCCAGAGTGTAACTTTTTAAGGAGCTTTTATTTTCACAGTGGCTGCACCATTTTACTCTATTCATTTATATGGCAGAATAGTATGGTAGTTCATGGATGTACCACATTTTGTTTATTCACCTGTTGATGGACATTTTAATTGTTTCTTCCTTTTGGCTATATGAACAGTGCTGCTATGAATATTTGTGTACAAGTTTTTGTTTGAACACCTGTTTTCAATTCTTTGGTGTCTGTATAGGAGTGGAGTTGTTGAACCCTAATTGGGTTGGCCAAAAAGTTTATTCGACTTTTTCCGTAAGATGGCTCTAGTAGCCCTTAGTTGTCTTTAACTTCATTCAAAACAATTTTGTGAGGTTCTATGTGATGGCTGTCATATCAGCATGCATTTAGCAAAAGACTTATCAAAGTTGGTGAATTTTTGTTTAGCCATTTTAGTATTGAAGATGGGAAAAATGCGACATTTTTGGCATATTATGCTTTATTATTTCAAGAAAGGTAAAAATGCAACTGAAATGCAAAAAAAGGTTTGTGCAGTGTATGGATTTGTGCTGTGACTGATTGAACGTGTCAGAAGTGGTTTGTGAAGTTTCATGCTGAAGATTTCTCGCTGGACGATGCTCCATGGTTGGTAGACCAGCTGAAGTTGATAGCGATCAAATGGAGAAATTAATTGAGAACAATCAACATTATACCACGTGGGAGATAGCCAACATACTCAAAATATCCAAATCAAGCACTGAAAATCATTTGCACCAGCTTGATTTTATTAATTGCTTTGATGTTTGAGTTCCACATAAGTTAAGTGAATTTCTGCATGTGATTCTCTACTTAAATGCAATGAAAAGGTTCCATTTTGAAAACAAATGGTGACAGGTGATGAAAAGTGGATACTGTACAATAATGTGGAACGGAAGAGATCGTGGGGCAAGCGAAATGAACCACCACCAACCACACCAAAGGCCGGTCTTCATCCAAAGAAGGTGATGTTGTGTATATGGTGGGATTGGAAGGGAGTCCTCTATTATGAGCTCCTTCCAGAAAACGAAATGATTAATTCCAACAAGTACTGCTCCCAGTTAGACCAACTGAAAGCAGCACTGGACGAAAAGCGTCTGGAATTAGTCAATAGAAAATGCATAATCTTCCATCAGGATAATGCAAGACCTCATGTTTCTTTGGTGACCAGGCAAAAACTGTTACAGCTTGGCTGGGAAGTTCTGATTCATCCGCCATATTCACCAGACATTGCACCTTCAGATTTCCATTTTTTTTGGTCTTTACAAAATTCTCTTGATGGAAAAAATTTCAATTCCGTGGAAGACTGTAAAAGGCACCAGGAACAGTTCTTTGCTCAAAAAGATAAAAAGTTTTGGGAAGACAGAATTATGAGGTTGCCTGAAAAAGGGCAGAAGCTAGTGAAACAAAAGGGTGAATACGTTGTTCAATAAAGTTCTTGGTGAAAATGAAAAATGTGTGTTTTATTTTTATTTAAAAACTGAAGGCACTTTTTGGCCAACCCAGTACATTTATCTTTTTGAAGAAAGGTCAAAGTATTGTTCACGTAGGCTGCACCATTTTACATTTCCACAATGTTTAAAAGTTCCATTTGCTCTACATCGTTGCCAATATTCATTATTTTTAATTTTTCTTGACTATAACAATTGTGTGTTTGAAGGGGTATTGCATTACGGTACGAATTTGCATTTCCATCATGACTACTGATGTTTGACATCTTTTCATGTCCTTGTTGACCATTTGCATGTCTTGTCTGGAGAAGAGTCTGATCAAGTCCTTTGTGCATTTTAAAAATTGAGTTCTTTGTGTTTCTGTTGATGAGTTTCTTGATACGTTCTGGATAACAGACTCTTATTAGATATATCATGTGCAAATATTTTCTTCCATTCTGTGGACTGTCTAACTTTCTGGATAGCAGTTTTGATGTGATAAAATTATTAACTTTGAGGAAATCCAGTGTATCTATATTTTATTCATTGCTTAAGCTTTGATGTCAGATCGAAGAAACCACTGCTAAATGCAAGGTCATGAGGATTTATTCCCTTGGTTTATTTTAGAGATTATAGAGTCATCCCTTGGCATCCACTTTGCTAAGGTTAAGGTCTGTGCTTAGAGTCAGTGTCAGGGTTTAGGGTGATGGTTAAAGGGTCAGGGTCAGGGATTAGAGTTGAGGTGTCAGGATCGAGGGTCTAGGATCCAAGGTTAGGATTGTTAGGTTTAGGGTAATAGGGTAAAGGGTTAGGATGTTAGGGTTAGGGTGAGGGTTAGAGTTAGGTTAAAGGATAACCTGTTCTCACCGTTCTTGTCTCTCTCCATCTCTCTGAAGCCTCCAGGATGGACAGGATTCTCCCAAGGTCACACATGAGTCAGGTAGGTGAGCTGTATCATTGTTTGTCTTCCCCCCAGTCCTGGGCTCTTGGGAGACGAATGAAATGTCTGTACTGTCTCTGTTTCAAATAGACCTCAACCTCAGTCAGGGGCTGTGGAGGCCGTCAGAAGTCATGTAGGGTTTCTCTCTTCCCTCCCTCCTGCCTGAAAGGGGTGGTGCCAGCCCCACTCTGCCTGGGCAGTCCCAGGTTCCAGCACAGCCCTGACGCGAGGGCACTCTGAAGACGTGCCGATTTACGCAGGACTGGGTAGTGACAGGCTGACCCTCAGGTGCTGCCTTCTTGAGGGCAGCTGGGGCCCTTCTGGGACTTCATGAATCCTCTGTCCCATCTGAGCGGGCATCAGTAGAAAATCAAGTCTCAGACAGGATAACCCTTGACCTCTGACCATCCAAGCAGGCATCTGTGGTTCTCCAGCTCAGCCCAGCCTGGGCCCTGTCAAGCCCTCTGGCCAGTTACTGAGCTGAACCTGCCGCTGGGCAATTGAACAACAACCTGGGCAGCATAGACAGCCCCTTGGCATGTTTATGTTCCCAACATCCATGTGGTTGAGAAAAGGGTCCTCTCCCTCACAGCCTCTTAGCCTGCCGAGAGAGGTAATAACCCTCCAAATGTTGAATGTGGCCCTGGCCACAAAAACCATACAACAGACAACAGACGGTGGCCCTGCAGTCCTTTGGCCTTCCAGTTGTTACAAACTTTTTTTTTTTTTTTTTTTTTTTTACAGTACGCGAGCCTCTCACTGTTGTGGCCTCTCCCGTTGCGGAGCACAGGCTCCGGTCGCGCAGGCTCAGCGGCCATGGCTCACGGGCCCAGCCGCTCCGCGGCATGTGGGATCCTCCCGGACTGGGGCACGAACCCCTGTCCCCTGCATCGGCAGGCGGACTCTCAACCACTGTGCCACCAGGGAAGCCCTGTTACAAACTTTTGACATTCATACTCTTTAAGAATCAAAGCTATGGGAGCAGCTGGGCCTCCCAAGAGGCAGTTTCACAGGGACTGCGTGTTACTAGAGAGTCATATACACCCATGCGGCCTTTGGAAAGCCTGCCGATTATGAATTCCATGGTATTGAATAATCCTTGAGCCTCCCCGTACTTCATTGAGCAATAATTTCTTTACCACCCTAGCATTTGGTACCTGCTCTTTGTAAAGGCAGGAGAAGAGACTGGAAAAATGAGCAATATTGTTCTTCGGGGACGGGTGATTAATGTGGCCAGCGGGCAGGCATATGCATCCTGCGCAACCACCTCCTGGGAACAAGAACGAGGTCCGTGTGCCTTCTGAGAGCACCTGGGCTATTCTGGGACAGTCTCTATGATGCAAGGGCCCGGTGACCAAGGCAGGATCCTTGTGTTTACCATCATCAGCAGCCTTGCTTTTCAGCAAATGGAAGAACTTTTTGCTGTCGTGGGAGAATAGCGGGAGCAGCGGATGGGTGGCTACAGCCCCTGACCCTAAGTGAATCCCTTCCTACTTTGTGCTTCTGATTCTGTGCCATGCAGTGGACTGTCAGTGATACGGAATCTGCCGCTTTTGCCGAGCCAGCATCTGTCTTCATGACCAGCTGCAGCACCTCAGCTTTCCTTTTGGAACTACATCTCAGCTGCTTCCAGTCCAAACAGTTTCAGGGGGCTGACCTTATATTCCACCCACCTAGAAGATGGCTGTATGATCCACATCTAGCCAATCCCATTTTTCATCCTCTGCTTGCTGTGATCGGTTCAAGGGTGAGAATGTGACCCAAGCCAGGCCAAAGGCATTCAAAGTCATGAGTTTCATGGAACCCTAGGGAAGGAGAAACCCTTGCTGGTAGAATGGATGTTGTGTGGGTGTCATATTGGAGTTGCTGGTGGCTGTGGATGCAGTGAGAGAGACTGTGCCGGTGAATGGGACCACCCCAAGGCATTCAGCGGGACTGATTCAGCAGGACATACTACAAGAACGTGAGCCATTGGACCTGACATCTCCAAACCCACTCTTCAACTTGTCTCTTGTAAGTATTAATTTATTTCTATCATTTAAAATAATGTTAATTTATTTTACTTGAGCAAGTGTGTCTAGTCCCTTGTAAGCCAGAAAGTCCTGACTCATCAGGATCAGTGATTCCTGAGACTCCTTCTGGCATGTGTCCTCGTTGGATAGGGCATGTCTGGGGAAGATGAAGACACTGGGTGGGGTCAGATCTAAGGGGAGCTGCCAAACAGCTCTATCCCTGTTCTTCTATGTCCCAGGAGAGGAAAACCCCAGAACAACGAGAGAACTAGTAGGGAGAAAGGGTCATAGCATGGTTAATTGGTCTGCTTGTATTTTCCATATTTTACGGTTCATTTTGTTTGTATATTGTTAGGAAATCACTGTTTTATCCTAGATTTATAGTTTGATGCAATAGCTTGTTGTATTTGACCTTTAATTTCACCTTTCATTCGTTTTCTACAGAATTGTCACAGTTAATGAACAAATATGGATACCTTACTACTAACTAAAATCCATATTTTATTCGGGTTCCCTTCGTTCTCCCTTTTTTCTGTCCTAGGATCCCATCCAAGGTCTCACATGGCATTGAGTCATCATGTCACTTTAGGATCTTTCTGGCTTGGACATTTTCTCACACTGTCCTTCTCTCAGTGACCTAGGCAGTGTTGAGGAGGACTAGTCAGCTACTTTGTAGACTCTTCTGCATTGGGATTTACTTGATGTTTTTCTTGCGATTAGAATGGGGTCATGGGTTTTAAAGAAGCATATCACAGAGGTAAAGTGCTTTCTCCTTACTTTATATCATAGGAACATACATCAAAGCAACACTGTTCATGTTAACTTTGCCCTCCTGGCTGAGGTAGTTTTTGTCATATTTTCCCCACTGTGAAGTTACTTTTTCCCCAAGTCCGTACTTTGCGTCTTCTTCAGGATGAAGTCACTATGCGGCACTCACACTTCAGGAGCGGGAGTTAGCCCCACCTCCTTAATGAGTGGCTGAATATCTACATCAGCTATTTGGAATACTTAAACGTAGGAGATTTCTATTCAGTGGTACTCATTAAAAAACAACAAAACACTATCTAATCATTTCTTTTTACCAGCGTGGACACCCCACCCAGAAAGTTATTTTAAGCTTTTGGTCATAATCCAGCAGTGCAGTATTTGGCTGCTCAATTCATTCCTGCTTCGGCTATTGAGAGCTCTTTCTATTTGCTGCTGCTTTCCTCTGACATAATTCCATCTTGTGGGTTTCTTTCTATCTTCGTACACATCTTTTTATGTGCTTGTTGACCATCTATGTTTCTTGTCTGGAGAAAGGTGTGTTCAAGTCCTTTTGCATTTTAAAATTTGGGTTGTCTTTTTGTGGATGATTTGTAAAAGTTCTTGATGTATTCTGAAGGAGACTCCTGTCAGATATATCATGTGCACATATTTTCTTCAGTTCTGTGGGCTGTGTTTTCACTTTCTGATAGCACCTTTTTTTTTTTTCTTTTTTTGCGGTACGTGGGCCTCTCACTGTTGTGGCCTCTCCCGTTGCGGAGCAACAGGCTCCGGACGCGCAGGCTCAGCAGCCATGGCCCACGGGCGCAGCTGCTCCGCGGCATGTGGAACCCTCCCGGACTGGGGCACGAACCCGTGTCCCCTGCATCGGCAGGCGGACTCTCAACCACTGCGCCACCAGGGAAGCCCTGATAGCACCTTCTGATGCACAAAATTTTTTAAAGTTGAGGAAATGTAATCTGTCCATTATTACATGAGTATTGTAACCATCTGCCTTTGCTTATCTGTAACTTTCCACTCCAACGGTAAGAAACCTGGCTTCCAACATTTGTCATTCATTGAATTTATTGCTTGCTCCGTTCCAGCTTAGTACAGATATAGTAGTTTCAGTACTGTTAGCCACTAACACCATGGAAAGAACTTACAGAGTCCAGTATTTAGGTATGGCACAGTTTGCCTTTGTTCTACAGATTCCATTCTTTTCTGTAGCTAACTAGGTCAAGTACCTTTTGCCCAATAACAGTTGAGTTTTTTTCATACATTTCTAAATCAGATTATTTTTCACATTCTCTGTTCTACCCTATGACACTCCCATATCATAAATAACTATATTTGAATATGTTACTTACTTGTTGGGTCGTAAAAATCCATGGTTTTAGACTAATGCCACAGGAGGAGCTAAGCATTTCCCTCCTATCTTCTGGCTTAGGTGTCACACTTAGAAGAGTGTCTACCCCGAGATTCTGCATATATTTACTAAAAGGGCTTCGTTTTATACCTCTCATCTTTAATCCATCTGGATTTCCCTTTCAAATAACAAAAATGCTATTTCAAATTTTAAAAAAATAAAAATTCACCAGTCCCCTCTTAAAATATGTGGGCAGACACAAAAAGTCACCTTTTGTATAGTTTCATTTATAGGAAACATCTAGAATAGGTAAAGAAACAGGTAAAGGAAGAGGATTAGGGGTTGTGAGAGGCTGGGGGAGGGAGGAATGGGGAGTGCGTGCTTTGGATACAGGGTGTTATTTGGGGGGAATTAAATAGTTTGAAACTATTCAGTGGTGATATTTGCACAGCGTTGTGAATACTTAATTTCACAATTTAAAATAGAAAAAGTTTAAATTTTATTATTTCACACGTAAAACATAAAGGACGGGATGCCATAAATGTGGGGAAAAAAAATAAAATTACAAACCACACAAACGCAAACAACTACAGGGGAAGGAAAGTAAATTTTGGGTGGGGGAGTGGGTTGATGGTGTAGATCGGGAGTTGACAGCAGTGGTGGTTGCAGAGCCAGCTCTGCCTGGGTGTGTGGTGGTTTCTGAAATGGCTTTAGGTCTCCTGCAAGAGCTGGTGCATGCTCTCCCTGCAGGGGTGGTGAATTTTGACCTGGCTCTGGGTCTCTGGCTGGAGCTGTGAGAGAAGAAAAGATTACCCACATGCCTGCCTTTCCATGTCCTTTTCCAAGGACAGAAATCTTCCCAGAACCTTCCAGAGAAGGCCCAGCCCAGGAACTTCTCAGACTGCAGTCCACCAGATGGGTGGTTTGGGGCCAGTCTTTGCTCCTGGCCCAACACCAGCCTCTGGGTACTCCTCCCTGTGTGGCCCAGAACTCACCCCTCCCACACACTCACATGCAGCCACCCCCGGCCTTCCCACCTTTGGTCTCTGCCTTGGTGGGCTCCAGGTCCTCCAGCTGACTCAGGGGAAGGTTGACATAGTGTTCCAGGTCAGAGCTGGATGTGCTGAGCTGCACATAAGCCCAGGAAGGGACCCTGGAGAATGGCTTGGGTGGTATGCGGGCAGGAGGCCTTTCCCATTCATCTCTGGGCCCTGGTTCTGGAGAACCCTCCATGGACACACTCACCAGGATGCTGCGTTGGCCCTCGTTGGCAGTGTGGTGCAGTGGCCCCTCACTTGGGGAGATGGATTAAGTGTCGCCATCAACAAGCTCCTCGTGGCTCTGTGGGGTGGGGCTCTGCAATGACAGTGACCAGCAGCCAGCCTGGCCCGGATGTATCAGAGCCCTGCCAGGCCTTTATCTTATCGCTGCTTCTCCTGCCTGCTAGACCTTCGGCTTCCAGATCAGGCACAGACCCGTGTCTGCTCAGATATCCACCTGCTCAGATATCCACCTGGGAGGAAAGAGATGCCTCTAGAGGGCTTGGGATAAACCTCGGGCAAAAGGGCGCTGCCCCAGCTCTCCACATCCCACCCAGCCAGCTTTGACCTGGAGTGTGGATATGACCAGCTCACCAGGCTTCTGACCTGCTCTTGCTTGAAGTAGACCCACTCCACATAAAACCCCGACGTCCACACATACAAGGAGGGGACATAGGGTTACCTGGGTGGAATCAGAGTGGTGGCCTGGTATAATTAATTCCTGCATCATATGGTAGTGCTACTTTTAATTTTTTGAGGAACCTCCATACTGTTTTCCATAGTGGCTATACCAATGAACATTCCCAACAAAATGCATGAGGGTAAAAAAAAAAAAAAAAAAAAATGCATGAGTGTTTCCTTTTCTCCACATCTTTGCCAGTACTTGTTATTTGTTGTCTTTTGGTTGATAGCCATTCTTTCAGGTGTGAGGTAATAACCTCATTGTGGTTTGGGTGTGCATTTCCATGATGATAAGTGATATTGTTTATCCTTTCATGTGTCTGTTGCCCATCTGTATATATTCTTTGGGAAAATGCTTGATCTTCTGCCAATTTTTTAATTGGTTTTTTTTTTTGGAGGTTGAATTGTGTGAGTTTTTGGTCCATTTTGGATATGAACCCCTTACCAGATATATTGTTTGCAAATATTGTCTCACATTCAGTAAGCCGCCTTTTCATTTTGTGGATGGTTTCCTTTGCCGTTGAAAAGCTTTTCAGTTGGATGGAGTCCCATTGGCTTCTTTTGCTTTTGTTACCCTTGCTTAAGGAGACAGATCCCCAAAATATTGCTAAGACTGATGTCAAAGAGCATACTGCATATGTTTTCTTCTAGGAGTTTTATGGCTTCAGGTCTTACATTGAAGTATTTGATTCATTTTAAGGTTTTTATAGATGTATGAGTAAGGATTCCAGTTTGATTCTCGTGCATGTAGCTGTCCAGTTTTCCCAACACAGTTATCGAAGAGGCTATCTTTTCCCCATTGTATATTCTCACCTCCTCTGTCATAGATGAACTGACCATAATGTGTGGGTTTATTTCTGTGCTCTTAGTTCTGTTCCATGGATCTATGTGTTTCTTTGGTGCCAATACCATATTGTTCTGATGATTCTAGGTTTGTAGTATAGTTTGAAATCAGGGAGTGTAACATATCCAGATTTGTGCTTCTCTTAAGATTGTATTGACTTTTCAGGTTCTTTTGTGTTTCCATACACATTTTAGAATTCTTTGTTTTAGCTCTCCAAATAATCCCATTGGTATTTTGATAGGATAGGAATGGTATTGAATCTCTAGATTGCCGTGAGGTGTGGAATCATTTTAACGATAAGAATTGTTCAAATCCATTAGCACAGCATATTTTCCCATTTGTTTGTGTGGTCTTCAATTTCTTTCATAAAGGTCTTCCAGTTTTCTGAGTACAGGTCTTTTACTACCTGGTTTAGATGTAACCCTTAGGTATTTTATTTTTGTTAATGTTATTGTCAGTGGAGTTGTTTTCTTAATTTCTCATTCTGATAGTTTGTTGTGAGTGTATAGAAATGCAGCCGATTTCTGTAGATTAATTTTCTATCCTGCAACTTAACTGAATTTTCCAATGGGTCCTATCTGTTTTGGGGTGTCTTCTTCAGGCTGTTCTATAGAGTACCATGTCATCTACAAACAGTGACAGTTTTACTTTTTTCTCTGCCATTAGATTCCTTTTATTTCTTTTTCTCATCTAATTAGTATGGCTAGGACTTCCTAGACCTTGGAACGAAAGTGGCGAGAGTGTTCAGGGTTAGAGTTAGGTTTAAGCATAACTGGCCCTCTTTCCCTTCCTCCCTCTCCATCTCTCTGAGGCCTCCAGGAAGGACAGGACTAGTCTAGGGTCACACATGACTTAGGGACTTGAGCTGGACCATTGTTTCTCTGCCCCTGGTCATGGGCCTGGTTTTGTGTACTATCTGTGTAATTCTTTGATCAGGTGTTTATTCAGAGCTTTCCCTATTTTTAATGGGGTTTGTGTTAGAGTTCTTTGTATATTTTGAAACAAATCCTTTGTTAGATATGTGTTTACAAATATTTTTCTCAGTCTGTGGCTTGTCTTCTGATTTTCTGAATAAGGCCTTTCACAGAGTAGAAATCTTTAATTTTACAAAGTCCATGATATTCCTTCTTTGTGGATTGGCTTTTTGTGTTTTTTGTTAAAACTTGGAGCTCATGATCTACATGACCAAACCCAAGCTCCTGTCAATTTTCTTCTGTGTTTTCTTCTATAATTTTGAATAGTTTTGTATTTAAAATTTTTCTATGAATAATTTTGAGTGAATTTTGTGTAAGTTTGCATCTACATTCATTTCATTCCATGCGGTTTCCAATTAATTGTTCCTTAACTATTTTTAAGAAAGTTGTGGAGTGCTATCTCTATTTCAGTTTGAATTTCCACAGTTTAATGGATTCAGCAGTTCTGCCTGCAGGGAGCGCTGTCACCAGTGAACTGTGAGTGAGGCGCGGCCTGCAGTTCCGGGACTGTCCACAGGGGGGCCAAGCCCACCTCGCTGACCCACGGCGCATGCGCATTCCACCTGGGACTTGGCTCTGCGCGCCTGAAAGGAATTCTGTTGCCTCAGGCACCCGCTTGGGCCTGGGATGCCTCGCTGACAGCGTCTCTGCCAACAGGAGCTCAGTCTCCTTAGGGCTCGCTGGGGTTCAGCTTCAGAACAACACAGGACTGCGTCCATGCAGACTGGAGCTGAGTTTCCTTACGACCGGGAGGAAAAGGTGAGAAAACAGTGAGGAAAAGTGGGGAGAATTTCCTATGTGCGACTGACTGCTGAGAGGCGGTCCATCTTCATACAACCCAGGAAGGGCTTCATGTTGAAAACTGGGTTTTCGTCAGTTTTGTGGGCAGTGTAACCGGCATGACTTATGTGGTGTCCATTTTTCCCAGCACTGCTTATTGTGGGGACTGTCCTTCCCCTTGGTGTGTCCTTGGCCCGTTTGTCATAAATTAACTGACCCCATCCACGTGGGTTTAATTCTGGGCCCTCTGTTCTGTTCCTTTTGCCCACGTGCCTGTTTCTGTGCCAAGTCCACACTTTTGGTGACTGTGGCTTCCTGCTGTAGTGTGAGGTCAAGGAGCGAGATGCCTGTTCTCCTTTCTGAGGATCGCTTTGGCTAATTGGGGTCCTTTGTGGTTCCATACAAATATTAGGATGATTTGCTCTGTTTCTGTAAAAAGTACCATTGAAATTTGGTAGGGATTGCATTCACTATGTACATTGCTTTGGGTAGAATGGAAATCTTAATAACGTTAATTCTTCCATTGCATGAGAACAGGGTATCTTTCCCTTTATTTGTGTTCTTTTTCAATTTCTTCATCAGTATCATAAAAGTTTTCCATGTGCAGGTCTTTCACGTCCTTGGTTAAATTTATTCATAAATTTAAATGAATACCATTCCATTCTTTTTGATGAAACTGTAAATAGGGGTTTTTTCCCTCTTTCTGATGGTTCATTGTTAGTGTTTAGAAATGCAACTGATTTTTGTGTATTGATTTTGTTACTTTACTGAATGCATTATTTCTAGTAATTTGTTGGTGGAATGATGTGTAAAATTGGAATTCAAAAACCCAACTCTTTCTACCACATCCAGGTCATCCACAACACGGAAGAAAGTGGCTCCTAATATAATCTTCCCACAGTGCCTCTAAATTACGTGTGGACTTTGGGTGAACTGGATCTGGGTAAGGCTGGCCTCTATATGAAGTTTGATGTTTTCTCTGCTTTTCTGGCATGGTATTCACATGGTGTTTTGAAAAGTAATTTACTTTCCAGTAATTTTGAACATACAACTCTACATACATAAAAACAAGTCTTGTATCTTGATTAAATATATTCCTAAATATTAATGTTGACATTTAAAATGGAATTCTTTTCATAATTTTTTCAGATTATTGCTAGTGTATACATATAAGATAGATTTTCATGAATTGATACATTTTCTTTTTCATTTTAACATCTTTATTGGAGTATAATTGCTTTACAATGGTATGTTAGTTTCAGCTTCACAACAAAATGAATCAGTTATATATATACATATGTTCCCATATCTCTTCCCGCTTGCGTCTCCCTCCCTCCCACCCTCCCTATCCCACCCCTCCAGGCGGTCACAAAGCACTGAGCTGATCTCCCTGTGCTATGCGGCTGCTTCCCACTAGGCTATCTACCTTACGTTTGGTAGTGTATATATGTCCATGCCTCTCTCTCGCTATGTCACAGTTTACCCTTCCCCCTCCCCATAGCCTCAAGTCCATTCTCTAGTAAGTCTGTGTCTTTATTCCTGTTTCACCCCTAGGTTTTTCATGACATTTTTTTTTCTTAAATTCCATATATATGTGTTAGCATACGGTATTTGTCTCTCTCTTTCTGACTTACTTCACTCTGTATGAAAGACTCTAGGTCTATCCACCTCATTACAAATAGCTCAATTTCGTTTCTTTTTATGGCTGAGTAATATTCCATTGTATATATGTGCCACATCTTCTTTATCCATTCATCCGATGATGGACACTTAGGTTGTTTCTATCTTCTGGCTATTGTAAATAGAGCTGCAATGAACATTTTGGTACATGACTCTTTTTGAATTGTGGTTTTCTCAGGGTATATGCCCAGTAATGGGATTGCTGGGCCATATGGTAGTTCTATTTGTAGTTTTTAAAGGAACCTCCACACTGTTCTCCACAGTGGCTGTATCAATTTACATTCCCACCAGCAGTGCAAGTGTGTTCCCTTTTCTCCACACCCTCTCCAGCATTTATTGTTTCTAGAGTTTTTGATGATGGCCATTCTGACTGGTGTGAGATGGTATCTCATTGTAGTTTTGATTTGCATTTCTCTAATGATTAGTAATGTTGAGCATTCTTTCATGTGTTTGTTGCAGTGTGTATATCTTCTTTGGAGAAATGTCTATTTAGGTCTTCTGCCCATTTTTGGATTGGGTTGTTTGTTTTTTTGTTATTAAGCTGCATGAGCTGCTTATAAATTTTGGAGATGAATCCTTTGTCAGTTGCTTCATTTGCAAATATTTTCTCCCATTCTGAGGGTTGTCTTTTGGTCTTGTTTATGGTTTCCTTTGCTGTGCAAAAGCTTTGAAGTTTCATTAGGTCCCATTTGTTTATTTTTGTTTTTATTTCCATTTCCTAGGAGCTGGGTCAAAAAGGACCTTGCTGTGATTTATGTCAGAGTGTCCTGCCTATGTTTTCCTCTAAGAGTTTGATAGTTCTGGCCTTACATTTAGGTCTTCAATCCATTTTGAGCTTATTTTTGTGTATGGTGTTAGGGAGTGATCTAATCTCATACTTTTACATGTAGCTGTCCAGTTTTTCCAGCACCACTTATTGAAGAGGATGTCCTTTCTCCACTGTACATTCCTGCCTCGTTTATCAAAGATAAGGTGACCATATGTGCATGGGTTTATCTCTGGGCTTTCTATCCTGTTCCATTGATCTATCTTTCTGTTTTTGTGCCAGTACCATACTGTCTTGATCACTGTAGCTTTGTAGTATAGTCTGAAGTCAGGAAGCCTGATTCCTCCAGCTCCGTTTTTCGTTCTCAAGATTGCTTTGGCTATTCGGGGTCTTTTGTGTTTCCGTACAAATTGTGAAATTTTTTGTCCTAGTTCTGTGAAAAATGCCAGTGGTAGTTTGATAGGGATTGCATTGAATCTGTAGATTGCTTTGGGTAGTAGAGTCATTTTCACAATGTTGATTCTTCCAATCCAAGTACGTGGTATATCTCTCCATCTATTTGTATCATCTTTAATTTCTTTCATCAGTGTCTTATAATTTTCTGCATACAGGTCTTTTGTCTCCTTAGGTAGGTTTATTCCTAGATATTTTATTCTTTCTGTTGCAGTGGTAAATGGGAGTGTTTTCTTGATTTCACTTTCAGATTTTTCATCCTTAGTGTTAGGAATGCCAGAGATTTCTATGCATTAATTTTGTATCCTGCTACTTTACCAAATTCATTGATTAGCTCTAGTAGTTTTCTGGTAGCATCTTTAGGATTCCCTATGTATAGTATCATGTCATCTGCAAAGAGTGACAGCTTTACTTCTTCTTTTCCGATTTGGATTCCTTTTATTTCCTTTTCTTCTCTGATTGCTGTGGCTAAAACTTCCAAAACTATGTTGAATAAGAGTGGTGAGAGTGAGCAACCTTGTCTTGTTCCTGATCTTAGTGGAAATGCTTTCAGTTTTTCACCATTGAGGACGATGTTGGCTGTGGGTTTGTCATATATGGCCTTTATTATGTTGAGGAAAGTTCCCTCTATGCCTGCTTTCTGCAGGGTTTTTTCATAAATGGGTGTTGAATTTTATCAAAAGCTTTCTCTGCATCTACTGAGATGATCATATGGTTTTTCTCCTTCAATTTGTTAATATGGTGTATCACGTTGATTGATTTGCGTATATTGAAGAATCCTTGCATTCCTGGAATAAACCCGACTTGATCATGGTGTATGATCCGTTTAATGTGCTGTTGGATTCTGTTTGCTAGTATTTTGTTGAGGATTTTTGCATCTCTGTTCATCAGTGATATTGGCCTGTAGTGTTCTTTCTTTGTGACATCCTTGTCTGGTTTTGGTATCAGGGTGATGGTGGCCTCGTAGAATGAGTTGGGGAGTGTTCCTCCCTCTGCTATATTTTGGAAGAGTTTGAGAAGGATAGGTGATAGCTCTTCTCTAAATGTTTGATAGAATTCGCCTGTGAAGCCATCTGGTCCTGGGCTTTTGCTTGTTGGAAGATTTTTAATCACAGTTTCGATACGTTTCTTTTTTTGAATTTTATTTATTTTTTTATACAGCAGGTTCTTATTAGTCATCCATTTTAAACACATCAGTGTATACATGTCAATCCCAATCTCCCAATTCATCACACCACCACCCGCTGCTGCTTTCCCCCCTTGGTGTCCATAAGTTTGTTCTCTACATCTGTGTCTCAGTTTCTGCCCTGCAAACCAGTTCATCCATACCATTTTTCTAGGTTCCACATATATGCGTTAATATGCGATATTTGTTTTTCTCATTCTGATTCTTACTTCACTCTGTATGACAGTCTCTAGATTCATTCACGTCTCTACAAATGACCCAATTTCATTACTTTTTATGGCTGAGTAATATTCCATTGTATATATGTACCACATCTTCTTTATCCATTCATCTGTCGATGGACATTTAGGTTGTTTCCATGACCTGGCTATTGTAAACAGTGCTGCAATGAACATTGGGGTGCATGTGTCTTTTTGAATTATGGTTTTCTCTGGGTACATGCCCAGTAGTGGGATTGCAGGGTCATATGGTAATTCTATTTTTAGTTTTTTAAGGAACCTCCATGCTGTTCTCCATAGTGGCTGTATCAATTTACATTCCCACCAGCAGTGCAAGAGGGTTCCCTCTTGTCCACACCCTCTCCAGCATTTGTTGTTTTGTACATTTTCTGATGATGCCCATTCTAACTGATGTGAGGTGATACCTCATTGTAGTTTTGATTTGCATTTCTCTAATAAGTAGTGATGTTGAGCAGCTTTTCATGTGCTTCTTGGCCATCTGTATGTCCTCTTAGGAGAAATGTCTATTTAGGTCTTCTGCCCATAGATTGGGTTATTTGTTTTTTTAATATTGAGCTGCATGAGCTGTTTATATATTTTGGAGATTAATCCTTTGTCTGATGATTCATTTGCAAATATTTTGTCCCATTCTGAGGGTTGTCTTTTCGTCTTGTTTGTAGTTTCCTTTGCTTTGCAGAAGGTTTTAAGTTTCATGAGGTCCTATTTGTTTATTTTTGTTTTTATTTCCATTACTCCAGGAGGTGGATCAAAGAATATCTTGCTTTGATTTATGTCAAAGAGTGTTCTATGTTTTCCTCTAAGAGTTTTATAGTGTCCGGTCTTACATTTAGGTCTCTAATCCATTTTGAGGTTTTTTTTGTGTATGGTGAAGGGGGGTGTTCTAATTTCATTCTTTTACATGTAGTTGTCCAGTTTTCCTAGCACCACTTATTGAAGAGGCTGTCTTTTCCCCATTGTATATCCTTGCCTCCTTTGTCATAGATTAGTTGACCATAGGTGCATGGTTTTATCTCTGGGCTTTCTATCCTGTTCCACTGATCTGTATTTCTGTTTTTGTGCCAGTACCATGTTGTCTTAATTACTGTAGCTTTGTAGTATAGTCTGAAGTCAGGGAGTCTGATTCCTCCAGCTGTTTTTTTTCCCTCAAGACCACTTTGGCTATTTGGGGTCTTTTGTGTCTCCATACAAATTTTAAGATTTTTTGTTCTAGTTCTGTAAAAAATGCCATTGCTTGGGGTTTCCCTGGTGGCGCAGTGGTTGAGAGTCTGCCTGCCTATGCAGGGGACACAGATTCGTGCCCCAGTCCGGGAGGATCCCACATGCTGCAGAGCAGCTGGGCCCGTGAGCCATGGCCGCTGAGCCTGCGCTCTGCAACGAGAGAGGCCATGATGGTGAGAGGCCCGTGTACTGCAAAAAAAAAAAAAAAAAAAAAAATTCCATTGGTAATTTGATAGGGATTGCATTCAATCTGTAGATTGCTTTGGGTAGTATAGTCATTTTCACAATATTGATTCTTCCAATCCAAGAACATGGTATATCTCTCCATCTGTTTGTATCATCTTTAATTTCTTTCATCACTGTCTTAGCGTTTTCTGCATAGAGGTCTTTTGTCTCCCTAG